CCGGCCGGAATTTTGTGTACCGGCCGGTACACGAAATTCCGGCCGGTACACCGGATTTTGACCGAAATGACCAGATTTTGACCGAAACGAAATTTAATATTGTACCGTTTCGGTCAAGTGTTAATACCGATACGGTACGAGATTGACAACATTGGTTCTACCTAAATTTCAGCTAATGATTGAGTTGCTCAATTATTTAATTGAATTATAACATGTTTATTTTGTTGTTAATTTGGTTGCGTTTTAATTGTATCTTGGAGAAAAGCAGATCGGTTAAGGTATTGTTGGCTTAGGGTGGTGGAGGTGACTGCCTTTGCATTTGCTGCTGTAAACTTGGGTTATAGAAATGTTGGTTCTCCGTCACGGTGGATTTTATATGGGAAACTGTTTCTTTCATTTGGATTATCATTTTGTGTAGAAAATGAACACATGACATGACTGAGAAAAACCCAGATCTAGGTTTGAGAGAGGAAAGGAGAAGAGAGAGATAGAGAAAGAATAAGAAGAAGAAAGAAGAAGGATGAGCAGGGAGTAGGAAAGGAGGAAGAAGATAAAGTTTGAGAGAGAAACCCAAATCCCAGATCTAGGTTCGCAGAGGTAAGAGAAAACGAAAGGTAAAGGAGAGAGAAAGTGAAAGAGGAAGAGATGATGTGGATAAAAAAGAAAATATTATTATTTTTAAATTAAATAAAAATGCTAATTCATAGGCCAACTATGTTTTTTTTTTCCACATCATTAGTTACGAAAAAAAAGGAATTGATTTGCTGGCAAGTTAACATGACACCTGTCATTTAACTGACGGAAGGATTGTTTTGGTACCAAAAATGAAAGTTCAAGGATAATTTTGGTACTTTTTAAAGGTGAGGGAAAATTTTGGTACAAAGTGAAAAGTTGAGGGACTAAAATGGTACTTAAACCTATATTTTTTATTATAAATTTATATTAAAAATAAAAATTAATTTTTAATTTATCATCTATTTAAACGATTTCTTTAAAGACTTAATTAAATCTTAGTCATGGTATTATGATCAAGTCTTTGTCAATGCCCTTGTGTTCAAATTGTAAAACAATTTCTTTAAAGACTTGATGTAAGACCATAAAATTAAACGTTTCATGGTGGTAAGTGGAGTGTGCTTGGGTGGGTTGAGGATTGGTGGACAATGGGTGGTTTTGGCGAGGAGTCACCATAAATTTGGCAATTGCTCACGATTTTCATTAAATTTTCAAATTTAATGGACAATTAAAAGGATGTTTTAATCTAATAAAGAGACTTCCTTCTTCATAATTGTCAAACATTAGGTTATTTTGGTTTAATTTTCTCTGGTAACAATGGGTGGTTTTGGCGAGGAGTCGCCATAAATTTGGCAATTGCTCACGATTTTCATTAAATTTTCAAATTTAATGGACAATTAAAAGGATGT